CTTATATGCAGAATACATCATGCGAAAGGCTGGACTGGAGGAATCCCAAGCCGGAATCAAGATTGCCAGAAGAAATATCAACAAACTTAGATATGCAGATGATACCACTCTGATGGCAGAAAGTGAGGGTGAATTAAGGAACCTTGTAATGAGGGTGGAAGAGGAGAACGTCAAAATGGTCTGAAGCTCAACATCAAAAAAACTAAGATCATGGCCACTGGTCCCATCACCTCCTGGCAAATAAAAGGGGAAAATATGGAGGGAGTGACAGATTTTACTTTCTTGGGCTCCACGATCTCTGCAGATGCTGACAGCAGCCATGAAATTAAAAGATTCTTGCTTCTTGGGAGGAAAGTGATGACAAACCTTGACAGCATCTTAAAAAGCAGAGACATCATTTTGCCGACAAAGGTCCGCATAGTGAAAGCTATGGTTTTTCCAGTAGCAATGTATGCAAGTGAGAGCTGCACCATAAAGAAGGCTGACCACCCAAGAATTGATGCTTTTGAATTGTGGTGCTGGAGGAGACTCTTGAGAGTCCCCTGGACTGCAAGGAGATCAAACCTATCAAATCTAAAGGAAATCAACCCTGAGTCCTCACTGGAAGGGCAGATCCTGAAGCTGAGGCTCCAGTACTTTGGCCATCTCATGAGAAGAGAAGACTCCTAGGAAAAGACCCTGATTTTGGGAAAGTTTGAATGCAAGAGGAGAAGGGGATGACCGAGGATGAGATGGTTGGACAGTGTCATCGAAGCAACTAACATGAATTTGACCGAACTCTGAGAAGCAGTGGAAGATAGGAGGGCCTGGCATGCTCTGGTCAATGGGTCATGAAGAGTCGAACACGACTTCATGACTAAATAACAACAACAAGGTTTCAGATGCCATTCACTACAAACAGAAAGTTGAACTGTATCTGGAACTTAGAAAAAAGCCATCAGTAATGCGCTGTATTTCTACCTGGAGTCAAATCACTGCCAGTTCTCATTCTAGATGAGGGTGATAAGAGAGCCTCTGAATTAGCAAGCTTCACGGTCACCACTCTAGTTGCTTGCGCTTTGTCACCCTCCATATGTTTCAGTTGCCTTCACCGTCCTACTTCCTTGACTTCTGATTTCTGTTTCTGATTTCTCAAATGAAAGCCTGAGGTGAGCTCATACTCTTCTATTTGCTCTGGACAGATTCCTATTGCTGGCACCCCTTCGGACTCCCACCAAACCACAGCAACCTTATTTCATAGTACTGTTTAATCAGGTCAAGCTGTGGGTCTATTCCCTCATTTTTAAAGCATGTTTGATTCACAGCCATCCTCTGTCCTCACTTGGCCACCTGAACGTTTTTTCTCAAATGAGGTTCTCTCTGCGAGTCAGCATCTGGATTTTTCTGCATTCTGGCTCCTGCATAGAATCTCCATGGATCCAACATGGTCTCCTCTTCAGCCAGTTGCTTTTGTAGGAGGAAAGTGATGGTGGAGAGGGTGTAGCTATAAGGCTCCCCTCCCTTTATATGGACTACACACATTTTAATAGCATGTGAATTGGGCTAATATTTCTAAGAAAACAGAACTGTAGAAAAACCACCAACGCTTTTCACTTCATGGTGAGGTTTTTCTTTAAACAAAACAAAACAGAATCCTGCCTTTTCATCTTATCACTTTGAATGGATAGCTCTACAGGTTTGTGCACTGAATTTCTCTTGGGAAGCCCTTCTCCAAGTCGATTGCAAATCACTGAACGTGGAAATTTAAGATTATACCTAACTAGTTTCATACCAAATATTGAAAAACTGTTATCAGAACATCAGGTTCATCCTTCTCATTAAATCATTAGCTGTGTATTAATTTATTAATTTTACTAAGTTCTGATTTTTTTTCCGTTCCAAATACAAATATTTAGTTGCATTTTGTGTTTTTTCCATAAAGGTATGGAAAAAAATTGTACATTTTTTTTCTACACTTGTGCACGCTTTCAAAAAAAACCCTTAAAACACGTTTGAAGTTAATAGGTTTAGGAAAATGCGATATTAGGTAGGCAGGGTGTCTACAGAAAACAAATAAGCCGGCAAGTGGTCTATGGGGCCAAAAAAATACAAATATTTAGTTGCATTTTGTGTTTTTTCCATAAAGGTATGGAAAAAAATTGTACATTTTTTTTCTACACTTGTGCACGCTTTCAAAAAAAACCCTTAAAACACGTTTGAAGTTAATAGGTTTAGGAAAATGCGATATTAGGTAGGCAGGGTGTCTATAGAAAACAAGCCGGCAAGTGGTCTATGGGGCCAAAAAGTTGGGGAACCTATGCTCTAGAGGTACACTGCTTGAAGAACTGTCTTCTGTGGATCCCACATTTGTGTATTTTTGGCACCAGTCTGTTAAATATGGGTTCAGGTATTCTGTTGTATTGTTGTTTGAATTTTTATATTTCTCCTTTCATACTGCCCTGAGAGTTATGAAAATGAAGGATGATATTTTAAAAATGAATCAATTGATTAATAAAAGTGCATGTTTCTAAGACAAAATGTGAGTAAGATGATTTTCATATCCAGCATTCTGGATGTTTCCAGGCAGAACCAGTGGCACAGAGGAACAGAAGAAGCAGTCTTGTTTAACATGCTTCTAGTTTTTGTAATTAATTTTGCTTAGTGCACATATCAGGGCATTTCTCATCCATGTTTCTGTGTTCCACAGAGATGATCTACAGGCACACAGCGGTTGTTGACGGAGAGATGGTGCATTTTGAAATTCTTGACACAGCAGGACAGGTACAGTTCTGGGCACTCCACTTTTTTTAAAAAGGGATATCGTAGAGCTAAAAAAAGTCACAGTAAAGGGCAAGCAAACTGGTCACAAAGCTCAAGACATGTGAAGAAAGGCTGCACATTTGGGGCATTTAGTTAGAAAAAAAGCTGAGTGTGCCGGGGGACATAGTAGTAGTGTATAGACTTCTGTGTGGTCTGGAGAAATTTTTGTTTTATAGTTTTTTGTTTTCATGCTCTCATATTAGGGCTTGGGTTCATCCCATTAAACTGATTGTTGACAGATTCAGAGCAAATAAAGGGAAATACTTCTGCATACTGTGCTCAAACACTTCTGCCCCCTGGGTACCCCCAGCTTAGCAAGGTGTCCAGTCAGTCAAGACTATTAGCTTAGATGACTTTAAAGGAGGCCTCGTGCAGCAGTGGTTAAACTGCTGTGCTACATACAAAACTGTGCTCATGACCCAGGGGTTCAAATCCCAGATACCCGGCTCAAGGTTGACTCAGCCTTCTGTCCTTCCCAGGTGGGTAAAATGACTACCCAGTTTGTTGGGGAGTCCGTGTGTATCCTGCATAATTAACTTGCAAACCACCCAGAGAGTGCTTTAAGTGCTATGGGGCAGTATGTAAGCAGCACGCTTTTTGCTTTACCACCGCAGAGGTGGCCAAAGACATTTTGCTGCCTGAGGCAAAAGGCAAGATGGTTTGGGGAGTCCGTGTGTAGCCTGCATAATTAACTTGCAAACCACCCAGAGAGTGCTTTAAGTGCTATGGGGCAGTATGTAAGCAGCACGCTTTTTGCTTTAACTAGGCAGAGGTGGCCAAAGACATTTTGCTGCCTGAGGCAAAAGGCGGCAATGTGCTTCACTCTCATTCTGTGTCCAGAAGCTGACCACTGGCTGTTTAGCAATGCTGGCAATGGGGCACTGTTCTCTATTGTGTCTGACAGATGCATGCTATCATAGCAGACACGCTAGAAGCCGTATGGCACACACACACACACACACAGAGAATTTCCCTTATACTGAATCCAGCCCCTTGCTCGAAAGGGCTCGCCCATGAATGAAACTGCAACCATCATAAAAGCCCTGTTGGGTCTGAGCAATGCTCCATCCAGGCCAGCATCTTCCTTTTCCATAGAGCCCAACCAGACATTTCTGGCAGATTCTGTGCCTGGAAATTTTTGCTGCTACTTTTACTGGACGGATGGTTGCAGTTTCATTCATGGGCGAGGAACCTCTTTCGAGCAAGGGGCTGGATTCAGTATAAGGGAAATTCTTGGGGAGGGGGCTGTTTCTAGTAACATGGAAGGCCAAAGGCAAGAGGGTGGGATGAAAATGGCCACTGCATTTTAGCTGAACATTTGGTAGCAAGTCACTGAGTCTGAGCAGAAGTATTTTAAACTTGCATAATGGGAGGAAAGCAGCATAAAAGCCAGGAAATTGCCTAGTGATGGTGCCATGGGGAAGGTCACGTGGCCATCTCCAAGGGCCAGACTGAGACTCCAAGAGTTCCAGAGCTTCCCCATTCCCTATGGGTTGTCTCACAAAAACAACTAGTGTCACAGATTTTTCATCTGTACTGCTGTTTTTTTTCATACACCTAAGACCAGAGCTTGCATCAATGGGTTGTGTCACATAAACAACTAGTGTCACAGATTTTTCATCTATACTGCTGTTTTTTTCATACACCTAAGACCAGAGCTTGGCAATGATATGTTAATTTTAAAACAATACAGTAGGACCACCGTATCTGCGGGATCAGTATCTGCAGTTTCAGTTATTTGCTGCCTGAAAATAGGACATTAAAAAACCCAGAAATGTGTGTTTACAAATATGTGTCTTACTGAAACTGGCCACTAGAGGGAACCAGAAGTAATGCCACATATATAGAGTTTGCATATCTGCACTTTTTGGCATCCGTAGCAGTGGGTGGGCTTGGAACCGATCCCTCACAGATACCGCAGTCCTACTCTAATGGTAAATTAATTCCTTTTTCTGGTGAAATGAGCTAAACTGCTACCACCTAGAGTGGTCTTAATTGACTAGATAGGCGGGATATAAATAAAATAAATAAATAAATAATGTAGGTGATAATCATCAGTATTTATTGCTGTGCCACTTGACGGGGTCCAATGCGTGGGAGGGACACCTGTCACACGTGGGAGGACACCCACACACTTGCAATGAAAGGCTCTATAAATTGTAGCTCCAAGATTCTGTTGAAAAGTGAAATATTAATATTGGATTATCTGCATGGCTCCTCCTCTAAGAATGGATATGATAGAAGAACACTGAGAACAGCTAGAAAAAACTAGAAAACAGTTAATGATAGTGCCAGGGGGAAGTGGCCATCTGAGGAATCTGAGGGGATTTGAATGGGCCTCAGGAGGGCTAGATTTCCTTAGGTTTCCCAGCACTAGAGTAAATAACACATGTTCAATCATCATGAGGCTCCTTTGTTACTTATTCTAATGGTGAGGAGCATAAGATCCTTGTGCCAAATCTAGCTCCCCTCAGGTCCCAATCAAGTCCTCCAGAAGTCCTTGGGTGGTTAGAGACAACCACAGCACTGACCCTTTTGAAATAAGGTGCATCAGTGCCTACTGGTCTTAACATGATTACTGTCTTTGGTGATAATGCATGCTAGAGTGGGATAGAATTTGTAGAGCAACTGTGTATAGACTGACTAAGCTCCTTGGAGAGAATAGGCTATCTTTATATACTTATTTGTAACCCTTCCTCTTTTCTAGGAGGAAGATTCTTTACAAATCGAAGAGAAGATTAAATGGGGAGATGGTTTTGCTGTAGTTTATTCTGTCACTGACAGGTGCAGCTTTGATGAGGTCATGAGGCTGTGTTTCCTCATCAACCACATCCACTCCAGCCCAAAGCGGAGCAGTGGAAATGGGGAACCGCCCGTGGTGATTGTTGGGAATAAGAAAGACCTGCAGTTTGATCGGATGGTATCTTCTGAAGATGGGGAAAACCTCTCCAAGGCCCTGAAGCACCCTTTCTATGAGATCTCCACCAGGGATAGTTATGAGGAGACGGTGACAGTTTTCAACACCTTGTACAATGAGCTGATGAAGCAAGGGCATTTCTCTCCAGGGACCTTCAAGAGGCGAGCAGTCTCTAAACTCATGGAAAAGATCCCGAAGATTCATGCCAACTCAACCCTCACCTCGGGTGGCAGGAGTCTGAGCTTCAACTCGTTCAGAGACTACATCCCAGAGTGAACTGTCACAGGGGCTGTTGTGCAAGTGGCAACATGGCTCAGGCAGAGACCAGATGGTGTTAGCAAGGAAGAGGCTGCATAGCTGGTGACATGGTGTGTCCAAGCCTGTGTAATGCTAGGAGGCATATTTCCCCCACCAACCATTTTTCAGTCAAGGAGGATGACCCTTGGTTGATAATAACATACATGGTGCAGAAATGTATAAGAACAGTTGTTCAGGATCAGGCCAAAGGTATCCTGCCTGCCCAGTGAACAACCAGATATCTCTGGGTATCCAAGCAGGGCATAAACATAAGTACCTTCCTTCCCCCACCCAGCATGTGGTATTCAGTGTCATGCACTAGCCATCATGCCTAATAGTAAATGATAGAATCCGCTCCCTCATGAATTCACTTTGAATCTTCCTATCCTAGTAGCCACGCTCATGTCCTGTGGTGGAGAATTCCAAATCTGAAGCTTCATATTTTTGCCTTTAGGAATGAGATTTAAATCCTGCATGGAGGCCATCTGTGGAAACTTTTTTCATGAATGGCGTATTTATTTTTCTGTTAAGGCTGAGAAAGCCAAGAAAACAGATCACCTTGAACTTGCATGTCTAACTCTGTGTCAGGTTGAGTACTAGCATTGCTTATTAAGATGTGAGGTCTACAAACAGCTGATAAAGATTTATTCTCAGCTTCCTGGTTCTTGCCAGTAAGTTGCAGGTTCCTTCTCTCTGTTAACCCAACATTTAAGCCTTTCCATACTAGATCTATTCCACAGTTTCCACCATTTTGGATACGGTCAGGGCTAACCCAAGACATTTGGTGTCTGAGGTAAAGGGCAAGACGGAAGCCCTCTCATGCCACCAATAGAAGCTGACCAGACCGGTTGTTAGCCTTGTTTCAGTGTTGCTGATGGGTGGAAGCCTCCATTTCAGCTGAAACCAGCACACTGCTTTACAGGGTGCAGAGCAAGCTGTTGGGAACATAAAGCTCTGCCTTCCAGTGGAGCAGAAGGGCCAAGGGGCTGCTCTCAACGCTGATCTACACCACTAAGTATCTGTGACTTGAAGCAATTGCCTCATTCTCCCTAAGTGCACTCCAGTCTTATTTATCAAGACATAATATGGCACTCTGAAAATGGCTGCATGGCTTGGGTAGGAGTGAGAATTGTTTACATGGCATTACACAGTGACATGCAGTTTCATACCAGGAAGAAGGCAATTGATGCAAAGAATCAGGAAGTTGTATTCTCAAAGGCTTTCAGGAAGTTGTCGGACTCGTAGAGCTTCAGTGACCGGACCTTTCGACCATCGAAAGCTTGCAAGTTGACCTCCTTGTTTTAGTGCAGCTGCCCCGCACGGATGGAGGAATTTCACTGGAATGAGCAAGATTCAGATTGTTGACCTTTTCCTGGTGTGGGTGCCACTGAGGCAACACAGTCTTAATGCCCTTCTTCTGTTTTCAGCAGATTCCTCTTAAGTAGGAGCATATGAAGCTGCCTTTGAACATTGTTCCATCTTAATCCTTCACTGTTGACTCTGACTGGCAGCAGCTCTCCAATGTCTCAGTTTAATTTCTTCTTCTCCAAAGGTTTTATCTTTGTGTTTTTTCCCTGCCCCTTCCCTCGTTTTTGGTAAATTAACTTGTGAAGCCAGGAATTGAACCTGGAAACCTTCGGAGCACAAAGGGTGTGCTTCTCTGTAAAGCAGCAATTCAGACTCTCTCTTTTCTAAGGCTTCATCTTCCAAGCTCATACACTCTGACAGAGGCTCTTCGTCACTTACCATTTGGGATGGAGTGACGCCTGGTTTGTCACGTGTTCTTCACGTGTTCCAAATTGGCTTCCACGCTGCCTTCTATGTCTGCTTGCCACCCACTGCCTTTAAAGGGTGGCTTGTTTGGCCTCTGTATAGGCAACACAAAGGAACTCCTTGTGTGTCAAGTGGGCAGATATTTTACATATATCTTGAGAGGAGTTCCAGATTTCTGAGAATAATAAACATATCTGTTGGTGTTTCTCTTTTTCTTGATCAAATCCCAAGAATTGTGCTTTGCTTATTTTCCTGCATGCCGTCTTGTAAAAGGATCTGTAACCACTCGACAAACTGGAGAAGATAGCTTTGTCTTGAAATCTATTTGGCTCTTTCACCAGAGATAGACATTATTTGTTTGTTTGTTTGTTTATTCTTCTTGCCTGGAAGCTGTGTAGCTTTATAATTACATTTTGTATTGTGAAATGATATTATATTATAGTCTGCCAACTGAAACCTGTAGGCAAGCAGAAAGAATATGCATAAATTGCGGGAAAAATTAGCGAGAAGAAAGAAAGTACTGTACAAAACACCTCAGGCCAGAACATGATGTAGCTGCATGTATGATGATGACATGGAGCCTTCGATCATGTCCTGTTCCTTTGGTAACAACCAATTTGTTTCTCCATAGTAGCTATCCTCATATTTGGACTGAAGGTCCCATCACCCCTGTTGACCACACTAGCTGGAGGATGATGGAGGTTGCAGTTCAACATGTCTGGAGGGCATCTAGATAGGGGAGGTGACTTTTGCTAACCCATATACACGAGATACTGTTATTATGCTGCAGGTTGCCCTCTTCCCCTTCTGCACCACTTCACTGCCATGAACATGTATACAAACGTGTTTGCGATGGGATTGTGCCATGCCTTTTGTGTGATTACTCCTTTACAGTGATGGAAGAGGAGGCCGAGAACACTGCTTTTGACTATAAGTGTGAGGCTTTGTAATAATGTATTCCATCCCAAGAGTCTTAATGACCCAGACATTTTCCGGTTTCTCCCCTAAAACTGTTGCTTGTCACAACATACCAGATATGACATTAAGATGGGAACATGTCAAGCCCATAGGTCAACCTTCCCCGAGTTGTTGCCCTGCAGAGGAGCTTGACTCCAGCCCCTCGCCCACCAGCATGATCCACAGAGGTGAGAAGAGTTTTTGTCCAATCCATCTGGAAGGTTCAGCGTTGGGAAATGTTGCCACAGGTGAATATGTCTGGGCAAGGAATTATGAAATCTGCAAGCCAATGGTTGGTAGTGATGAAACCCTGCATTGGGCCCAAAGTAAGTATGAAAATTTAGTCATGATGAGTTTTCCATGTTGATTTTCAGTGAGACCTACTGTGACTGATTTGCTCTGGCTTCAATCTCTTTGTCTTTTCCTTCTCTGTGTGGGATGAGAGCATAAAATGAACTGAAGTGCTGTCACAGAATCCCTGCTTTAGCCACTATTCCCCACTCCCCTGCTACTGAGTTTGTTGTCTGTTTACTGATATATGCCATCCAGTCACCTCCAAGTAATGGCAACCTTAACAGGTTTTTCTAAATATGCAAAATGGAGCATATATGGAGCGACTTGCACACTAAATCTATTTAAAGCAAAATGCCTCCTGTTATTATTGCCTCAGATTATTATCTTTTGATTTATCATTTGGCACTTTCAACTCAGTAACATACCTCGTTTAAGGACCTCTGCCCGCCTAATCTACATTCTCCAAAAGTTAATACAATTCTACTATACCTATCGTAAGAGAATAAACAAATATTTTAAGAAACAAACAGAAGTAGCTAAAATGTCCCTTCTGTTTCTCTTTGAAATAACCTAGTAGCAGTGTGCAGACCATGGCTATTTGTGGTCTAGGCTTTTTAAATGGTTCAACTGTGCAGTAAAAATGCTATACAACTGGCTACTGTCTCTCTCTCCTCCCCCCTCCTCCCCAGCTTCCCATTTGGAGGTTTTCATCTTTGAGGAAAAATTTTAAAGAAGTCAACTCTGATTTATAATATAATTTTATTTCCAGGACAGGAATGAAGTTATGGCAAAATTTCTTTCTCTTTAGTAGCCAATGGGAGTATTCAGGAATATGATAATTTAAGGCCTGGTAGTATCTGTGTTATTTTTTCTTTCTTTTTTTGGTCAGAGAAGCCCAGAAAGCTAATCCCTGTGAAAGCTGCTCTCTAAAACATTTTTGCCAAAAGCTGTGGTAAAGCACAGAGTTCTTCTTTCCAGTACCCTTTATTAATGAATTTATGTTGAACTGTCATAGACCAAGCACTTGCTGGGAACTGTAAAGGGACCTGAAGTGAGTAGAGATTGGATTTTCTACAGGGGGGCATGATGATTCACATAACATCTTGTAAAAGAATAAACTAACCCAGTCCTTCACAATCACATTTTATATTATCTTCATTCAGATTTATAGTGTCTCCTAATCACTAAATCTCACATTATCCCTGGGCATTGAAAACAATGGCTGCTGCAGCTTTCAGAAATGCATTTTATTTTTTAAACATGTTTACAATAGTGTTTGATGCAATTTGCTTATCATGCATATTCCCCTCTGTTTTCAGCAGACAGATCTCACAGAAGTCTTCTTAATTTCTCTGATGATCAAATTTCCAGGCTGTCTCTGCAATATACCCCAAGGACATGAATACTGAAGCCTGTAAAATAGCTTTTGAAATGCTGATAATCTCATGTGCAAGATTAAGCAGCAGCAAACTGCAGCACTGTTAGGTTCGTTTTTAACAGAGGAAGCCAAGTTTGTGAATCACACAAAATTAGTTTTTGAAGTTGAAGCTATGTCAATCTGTCCAAGCATTTCAACAAGAGACACAAAGCAAAAACAAAATACCTTGTAGCGTGTTAAAGACTAACTGCTATATTTCAATGTAAGCTTTCGTAGAACATGGCCGTCAGACATAAGAGTCAGAACACAGAGATTACACGGTAATCTCAAAATATTCTAAGAACCCTGTGTCTCTTATATGCAGCTTTTATCGACTTTAGAGCCGCCTTTGATTCAATCTCAAGGAATATTCTATGGGCTAAATTAAGAGGTTCTACTATTGACAAACGCCTCTTATTTTTGATTAGAGCTCTACATAAAAATATTACAATACAAGTTAAAACCAACTCACAAGGCTATTTTACAGCTCCTATTAAGACTGAGAAAGGTGTAAAACAGGGATGTATACTGGCTCTGCTGTTATTCAACCTTTATATAAATGACCTAGCAACTCAATTAAATCTTCCGTAACATCATCCCCCTAAATTGGCAAACAAACACATTGCTATCCTATTGTATGTGGACGATGCTGTGCTTCTCTCAAAGACACTGATGGGACTGAAGAGAATGATGCAGACACTTTCTAAATATTGCCAACAAACCTGATTGTAGATAAATTATGATAAAACAAAGGTCATATCCTTTGCTAATAGACCAAAGAGGCATACCTGGTATTTAAATCAAGCTTGCATTGAAAAGGTACAATAATACAAATATTTGGGTGTTATTGTTCAGGCAAATGGGAAGAAAAACTCACATATAAAGTATGTTTCATCTAATGCACAAAAAAGTGCTAGTGCAGTACAAAAATTCTTTTGGACCAAAGGGGGGCGAAATGTGACAGCAGCCATCCAACTATTTATGGCAAAATCCTTTGCACAATTGGCCTACGGTGCTGCTTTTATTATTGTAGCAAACAGATCCACAATGGAAAAACTTCAAACTAAATTTTTAAAAGCCATGCTATTGCTGACAACCAATGCATCAAATGCAATGGTTCATCTGGTAACAGGACTAGTAGCTATAGAGGCTAGACTTTGGATATTTGTCTTGCCATATTGGTTAAAATTGAACCACACTAACTCTGGGCTCTCCCATTTGATATTAAAGGACAACTCTGTCTCCCCGTAGATGGAACTGTTGGAGAACAAATTGGGGTACTATGGATTCTCACATCAGTATCGCCCAAGCCAAAAGTCTGATCAAACAAAGGATCTTAGACATAGAAAGGCAGCATGATCTGAATAGCATTAAAGCTCATATAAGCGATATCATCAGTATCAATAGAAACACATCAATGCCTTACATAACTTGAAAATTCTGAAAGTAGAAGGGCATTAATGCTAATCTGTATGGACATGTTGCCTTCTGCCATCTTGGAGGGCAGATATAAGAAAATTCCATATTTGAATCGGCTGTGTGTATGTGGGGAAGGAAGTACAGAGACCTTGGAGCGTGTACTCTTGGACTACAAAATTTACAAACAGATCCAGGAAGGCTACATCAATCCAATTATTTTGGACAGGGATGGAGGTGGCAGGAAGGGCTTCTATCTAGAAGATAGAAATAAGGCAACAACTTTCAATGTGGCCAAATTCGGCTGGCTAGCCATCAAGCTAACTATCAATCAAATGTGTTAATCAAATGGATAAAGACCCCATTGAGTAGCATATGGTGACTAAGGCCATTTAAGCTAGCAAAGGTCCCGCAGGTCACCAAAGGATGACAGTATAAAAGCTATTTTATAGGAGTCTTTTATATATATACTGTATATTTTAAATTCTAGCCGTTTTAGAACTTGTTATATATGGTTATGAAGTTCCTGTTTTGTTGACTTGTCATTGGTTTTGTGTATTGACTCAATGTTTCAATGGCCTTTGGCTAAAATTTGAATAAAATTAAATTCAATACTTTATAAACACATACAGTACATGGTAAAACATTAATGCATGGCTCTAAGATAAAGAGACAGGGTGATTCCATTTTACACCTAGCAATGATTTAGGAACCCTTTTTGGTATTTAGATTTTTTATTTGGTAAAGTTTGATTCTGTAAACAGCAACAATGATTAAAGGAAACAATAGCAGGAACATGTGGTAATGTAGAGAATGACAGATTTTGAGTCTTGTTCTGAAAAAGTGGGACTGGTCAGTTGGGAAAGAAAATAACAGTAGATAACAACATAATAATCACATTTGCTAAAGGCTTAAGCAACCTTGGCTGATATTTAAACCATTGAAATGGGCGTCTGGTATGTGTATATTTTATCTTAGCTGCTTCCCTCTGGATTCTTGCTTTGCATCAGTTATAAAGGTCTTGCATTTACTTATTTGCTACATTTATTTCTCACCTTTCCTCCACATGAGCTCATGGTGACATACATGGTTATTCTTTGCACTTTATCTTCACAACAGTTTTGTGGGGCAGGCCAGTTTGAGAGAATGTGACCGACTGAAGATTATTCATTGAGTTGCAGGGTCAAGTGGGGATTTGAAACCAGATCCCCTGCATCCTACTCCAATATTCTTTCCACTACACCCTGGTAGCAATTCTTGTAAGGAATTTAGACATCTCTGAATACCCAAGCCAATAAAAAATGCTAGACTGTTGTTCTGGGAGGTCAATCTGTAGTATCTGCTTCTGCTCAGGCATGAGAGGTAGCAGCAGCTGTGTCTTGCTCCCTCTGGTGTTCCTTACTGCCACAGCCACTTGGCTGACTGGGTGAGTTGGTGGGAAGGTTAATGAGTGAACTGTGATAGTGGGACACAGGGAGGCTTAGGGACAGTGATAGTACATGGTGTATGGTGGGGGTTAGCATCTTCAAAATACTAATTGCTAGTGTTTTCCTGGGTACTGGGGAGCATTTTTTTCTCTTAATGTGTTTTCAAAACATGGAAATAGAATTCTTTGTCATTTAAATGCACATGCTTTTGCCACTTGAGTGCATTTTTCCCTCTTGTGCTGCACCTTAAAAAATGAAGCCTGCCAACTTAATGGTCCTGCCAAGGCTGAAGAAAATTGGTCTTCATGATAGGTTCAAATGGTGGTGCATTTCTCAAATGCATTTCATTCAGCCCTTTTTGCTTAGAAGTTGTCACCAGCTCTATGGTTCAGCTGCTGTTTGGAATTCCCATTTAAAGCAGGGACGTGGAATCTGTACTTTAGATCAGTGGTTCCCAACCTTCGGCCTCCAGATATTCTTGGACTATAACTCCCAGAAGACTTCACCACCACCTCTGCTGGCCAGGATTTCTGGGAGTTGAAGTCCAAGAACATCTGGAGGCCCAAGGTTGGGGACCACTGCTTTAGATGTTTCAGACTCCAGAGTCTCACAAGCCCTTACCGCTTCATATACTGAGTGAGGCTTCTGGGATTGGAAGTCCAATTCTTCCATGGATTCTGGGGTTCATGGAAGAATCAGTTGATGGGACACTCTTGTTGCCTGAATCCTCACATTCTTCGGGGAGGCTCCTTCCATGTCCCCCTCCAGAGTGACCTAAGTGCACACCATCCCAATTCAGTCTTCAGAATTGTCCAGGCTTGTATGCTGAATACAGGTTATCACACCATCCCATCCTGCACTTTTATTCAGTCTTCAGAATTGTCCAGGCTTGTATTTTTGCACAAACCTTCCCCCGGCACATTGGACTTGATTCTTTTATTGTGATACAGGAAGTTAAGATGCACTGTCACCTTGGACTGTATTTGTGAAAAGGATTGTGTTGCAGTGTCAATGTTTATTTTACTTCTAGCATTATCTAGATCCTGCCTTTTTAGCCACCAAAGGCCTTCTAAAAGGCAGGTTATAACATCTATAGTGAGTTACCCTAGAAGGGAACCATTTCCTGCAACATCACAATGTATCAAATAAAGACTGATTATGGATCACTGTGTGTGCATGGGCACATGCGCTTATGTTTAAAGTGAAATTTGTTCAACAGTAATTCAATTCTATGTAAAAAATACATAATTGTGTTAAGTGTTATAGTTGTACTGAAGTTTATGTAGTAGAATAGGGATAGTAGCTAAGATCTGTAACACCCTCTAACTGATAGTTTTTACAAAGTCTCATCAAACAACAATTACTGTGATGTGTTCTAAAATTGCCATTTGTTGGAATGTATTCCAGAACATGTCTATCAAATAAACAGGAATTAAATTATTGGATTCTAAAAGCAGATATGCACAGTATTTAGCATGTTCCATGTATGTACTGTAATGGCTACAGCTGACCTGACATCCAGGTTCAGGCCAGCCTGGAGAAAACCCAAAATACCTTTGGCCATTAACAGTTAGCACGTTTATCTTCCGAGATATGGTATAATTATAGGAGCTGTGAAATTCTGAAATAAATAATAATTCTGTTTAAATCAGGAGGACCTCGTTGGTCTCACTGGGAAGCGAAAAACAGAAGAGAATGTAGCCTATCAAGCATCTGTTAAGTAATTTGCAGTAACCTGAGCCAGTATAATATTGCAAACAGAGCTAACTAGAAATTTTGGCACCCAGCGCAAATAGCCCTTTCTCCCACCCACCCACTCACCCTATGCTGAGACTTGGGCCCCAGGATCCCCACCCCCCCAAAATGGGAGGAGCCGGATGTGTTGTCCCTCCAGAAAAAGGAGAAAGCTTCTAAAAGTTAATCAGGCATGGAAGCACTGCTGTTTATTTTTGCAATGCTCAGCAGTAGATTCACATCCAGATTTCAGTGCCCTCTTAATTTTGTGCCCTAGCTTTAGCCCTGATTATAGCATGCCAGATAATGATTTTCAACTGGAGAGCAAAATTTTGGTTGGTTTTGATGGTTCATGGCAGATGAAGGCTAACTGCTAGATGCACCAGAAGACGTCTTTTTCAATGCCCTACTGTGGGGCCAGGCAGCACAATTGCCCTCCCTGCTTCTTTAAGGGAGAGGGTGTATGGCTTATGAAGGAGTATTCTGTTGTTCAGACCACATCCTCTCTATTTGCCCTGTGAAGCTGATGTTGAAAGGATATACTGATTTCTAGCACAGCTGTAAAACATCTCTTAGCTTTCTTTCTAGGGCTGGTCCTTCCATTCGGCAGAGTATGGCAACTGCCTGAAGCAGTAAATCTTTAAGAGCAGTTAAAAGTAAGCAAATAGTTAATTATTTAGTTCGTTGTTGTTTTATTCATACTGCCGGAAGGGGGGTGCGGGCGGTTCTGTTTCACATGCCAAAATAACCTAAATAACTTTGGATACAAGGTGTGCAATTTTCTGTTCCACCTCAAGCAGTAGAATATCTTGGGCTATCCCTGCATTTATGCTCTTTTAGTATTTCTAAAATCACCTTCGATGTCTGGAGGAGAAAGAGTTGGGTAATACAAAGAGTTTCCACTGCTGCCCCTGACAACAGTCTTGAATATTATGTACAGTATATATATTTTTTCAGGAAACAGTCACCCTGCTTTTCAAACTTTTCAAGGGCAGGAATGTACTGCTGGGAATGTTTAATATTTCTTGATCCCTTTTCATGCTCCTTTTGAAGTCTGAAGAAAGGCCTAATCAGGGATCCTATCCAGGGATTTTTCTCAAACTAAAACCTACAGCCCCCACTCAACATGCACAATTGGACTAGGAATTCACCCAGCACTTATTTTGGTTAGTGGGGGGTCACTATACTCATGGTTTGGGTGTCATGCTGGTTGACTCACATGGCATGCCTTGCATCGAGTGCACCAACTGGTGAAGTATAGAGATGGGATGTTTGTATTCATATCCTGAGGAATATGAATACGAATATCAGCACCACAGGTGCCTTCAGAAACCGGACCCTGCCCCTAGATCCAACCACACGGTGTGGAGGGCTGCCATTGTCCGTGTCATGCCAATCATAGAAATAGCCTGGCTGGCACTTCCCTGCCTCTCCACACAGCTGACCACTCTGGAGAGGAGGCGGGATGACTAATTCCCCCTGCTCAGTTGCTGAGCAGTCAGATGTGTGGAGAGCCAGGGAAGCACTGGCCAGGCTGCTTCGGTGATTGGTGTGACATGAATGATGATGGCAGTGCATGCTGCACGACGAGTGATGAGAGGACCAGCTGGTTCAGGGTGGGAAGGTCCGGTTATTGCAGGCACCTGTGGTGCCGATATTCATATTCATACCTCTCGGGATACTAATGCGAATATCCCATCTCTAGGGTAGTATATTCAGTACTGCCCATTTATTCCAGATTTTGTGATTTTTTTTTCCAAAAAGGACTAGAACGTTGCATGGGGCAGGGTCCTCACTCCTACGCATTTAGGAACAAATGATCTGGTGACAGTCCAAAATTTAAAAAGACGCAATACATGAGTTTTTAAAAAATGCTTTATTTTACTTTTTCTATCACTGTTATTATTATTTGTATGATCAACAGATCAGATGTCAATGACACAGAACAACTGCATAAGAATAAACAGAATCAATACAACTATAATATACATTATGTGTGGCAGACTCTTGGGGAGACAAATTCCATAAATAATTGTTACTAGCATAACCTAACATAATATTTAAAGGGTGGTTCTACCAGTTCCACACACCCAGTGAGTTTCTATGGCTTATTTGAACCCAGGCCTCCCGAGTCCTAGTCTGTTATTCTGTCCACAC